CAATACATTATATAACATTATAACACATTACAGGTGAGCGTGGCTGTGTCAGTCATAGTGATGTCACAGATTAGCCTCAGTCACTTTGTATACTGCAGGGTAGCTTGTGAATTTACTCCAGGTGGAACTAAAGTCTCTGCCCCTGGAGATCAGACAGGCCTCCACACTGCCTGCTTTTAAATCGCTTCTTAAAACCCACCTCTTCTCCTTAGCGTTTTAACATTTGGCGTTTCAACATCTTTAGAGTGTTGCTTTTTTGCATTTAAATTGTTTTTTGTTTTTACTTGTACTTGTTTTATGGTGTGAGCTGAGCTGTGTTACTTTTTTGTATGCTTTGTCTTATTTATTTGCCTGTACAGCACTTTGGTCTGGAGGTTTAAAGTGCTTTATAAATAAAGTTGTATTGTATTTTATTGTATTGTAAAGTCTGATTTAAGACTTGATTATATTTCACATCATTCATCCACATCTGTGAAGTAACTAAAGGTATTAAATACATCTAGTGGAGTAAAAGTACAAATTAGCGTAAGTGTAGTAAATTGTTGTTGCAACTCGACACTTACATCTCAACATTTGGATTTAATTAATATAACAGCTTTAGAAAAGAAACATTTTATGTACACACATTCCTAATGGTATTCTTTCAGTAAATGACTTCATGACACATTTGGATCATGGGGGGAACTTATATTATATTAGATCTTTGGCATAATTATTATACTGTGTGTTTTGTGTGTCTTACTGTATAGCTAAGTAAGATCATTTGTGAGGAACAGGTTTAACATCTGCTAACACTAATAATACGTCAGCATGGAGAGAGCCAGAGTAAAGATAATAGGATATGGCTAACTAAATCTACCTAGTTACTTTACACCACTGGAAAATAACAATCATTTTATAGGAAATAATAACTTGTTCCACCACTGACTTATAGAGAATGAAATGAAACTCTTTATTTGACGTTTTAAATACCAGAAAATAACAGAAAAGCTCACTTACAGATAAACTGTGTAATCAAATACTCACTAAACTCTATTTGTTATAGTTTACCTCACTTATGCAGCAAATAAATACAAAAAGTAAAACATATTTGTCGTTAATTTCCGTTGGGGTTTTACCGGCTAGCGTTAGCTCGGTTAGCTACCATTTGTTATGTCGTTTCAAACACTAAATATACCTCCATCATAAAAGTAGGGCTAGTATAGAATATATATTTAAATAGTTAACTCACTTTTAATAGGCAGCTGCGCACATAATGCTCACAGCCGACAGGGGAAGCCATATTTTCACACAAATTGTGGCTTTGGTGCATGTATGTTGACGAGGCTTCTTCTTCTTCGTCGATTTTTTTTAACGGAGTTGGAAGCAGCGGTTGGATTTCTTCTTCTTTGATTTCTATTACGGGTTGCATTATTGCCCCCTATGGAGTGGGAGGGTGGAAAAGAAATCAGCATCAGAATTCCTTCATTTGTCCAACAGAGGGGAAATGTACATTGATAGAGCAAAAGTGAAGATAGAGACAACAAATAAAACACTATTAGATAAAGGACATGCACATCGTATTTAGAATTAAAAAGGTTATTTCAATTTACAGGTAACATTCGCAATGAATTGTTTACATATTTGGTGTGATGTTTTACAACAGTGGTGTCGTAGTCTTTGTTATTTTTCTACACTATTGCACGTTGTTGTAATTGCACAGTGTCTTAGTCTGTGTTGTTGTGTGAGTGTGATGGTCTACCAGCGTACCAATGAACATGAACACATCAATATAGGCTATATTCCTGCATTTATTCATTTAAAGGTGGGGTAGGTAGCCTAGCTACGTTTGAGAAACCGGCTCGAGATACACTTTTTGTTATATTCCATGGAATGCTCTTAACATCCTGATAGCAATGGATATCTTAAGTGCTTTGACAAAAAATCCATAAAAAAATGTCATCTGTGGAAGACGTAGTACTGTAAAAAGCACGACCAATCATTTTAGCCGGCCCGGCTAAAATAACTGGATGGCCTACCTGGCAGAAAGGTGAATAATCTCAGCAGTTCAAGTTCAGCCATTCATCACGGCGTTATTTATTATAGGTGCACACAAGGGTGTAACTTTGGTTTGAGAAGTGGAGGGCACACAAAACGGGGGGTCCTCCGCAATGAAACATTGTTCTCGATTTAATTCCATTTCCTGCCTTTCTACAAATATATATTAGGGACTATGGTGTTAACTAATCCAAGAAAAATGTGTAGTGTGTATAATGAGTGTGCAAACTTATCTATCCATGAACCTGTTTTATTTGTGATGACCTCACATCCTATAGGGGGGTCCGGGGGCATGCACCCCCGGTAAGATTTGTTTCTTTAAATTGAAGTTAAAGGCATCAATCTGGTGCACAAATTAAGAGATTTATGGATATACCATTAGAATATTCTCACAACCAATAAGACATCATTGATATACTCCTCTCTCCTATTTTTATCTTACCTAGTCTGCATTCTTTCTTTT